AAATAAAAATTATTTTTCCTTCTACGAGAGGAAAAAATTTTTTATTTTTACACATCATATACGTGTAGCTAGCACGTGTAATTAAATAATGTCTTACGATAAATAATTCGCCGATCGCGCACAGGCGACAGCAGCTTTCGTTTCCCCTCTCTTTTTTTTCGAAATTTATTAAATCTATCGATTTTTCATAACTTTAAATTGAGGTCTTCGTAATCCCTCGACTTTAATTTTCCACCGTCTAACGCTATAATTAAATCGCGGAAATTTTTCCATGTTGTGGAAGGGGATTCATTTCGTCGCTAATGCGTCGACATAAACTCGAGAACAACGAGGCTGAAAGAAATCGTTCGTGACGTCCAACATTAACGTCATTCATGCGTTTCTTCGATGATAAGCGTGCGGGCAGCCGGTCGCTTCTTGCGCTGCGGGCCGCAGGAAGTGTGAATTAACGATGGAATCTGACCTACTTGACCGTGCATATCGTACGGATCTGCTGCTTCTTCAATCTGTTAAATGAGTTACATAAAATTTATCCATTAGGCACGGAGAAGACTGTCGGACGTGATTACTTCGGCACGAGCATGAAGAAAAGCCTCGCGCGAGCCGTGATTGAACAGTCTCGTGGAAATCACACACGTCTCGAGTTTTTTCCTATACGAAGCTACTATTGGATTATTCCTCGAAGCGCGAGAAAATACTTTTATACCGGCAAAAATGCGAGAAGATACTTCCTGGCTCTGGTTATATTGATAGAAAACTCGATATCAGAATGATATGGTGGAAATGATGGAAATAAAAATGTCATCGGACATCAGAGCTACTTTAGAATCTTGAAATAGATCTCTGATAAGTATCAATTAACGGCTGAAATTATATTAATGCTGTAACTTCCCAGTCTGACGACCATTGAACAACAATAGAAGTGTAACACGTGTTGGACACGTAGCATTTGCATTGTTGAGTAGGAAACTATAATATTGAGGTAACGCTACTTGGTGTTTATTGGGTAGTTAGGGAGAAATACTTATGTCATGGCGAGTCTCCTGAGGCATCGCAATGTGACGATAAAGCGAAATGATCGTGTAACGAGAATAACAATAGAGAGAGAGAGAGAGAGAGAGAGAGAGAGAGAGAGAGAGAGAGAGAGAGAGAGAGAGAGAGAACGAAGAACGAACGTAAGTAATAAG